TTTCCCGTCGGCGTACGCCGCCTTGGTCGGTATATTCGACCCACCTGTCCCGCAGGTAGTCGCTCACGACGCGTGCGAGGTACGGCGGTACCCCGCGGCGCCGGAGCGACCCCCTGATTCGTCCCCAGGGGAGGGTGTTGAACGCGTTGGAGATATCCAACGATATCGCCAACATCACCCCCCCCCCTGGGACGTCGCCTCTTCAGAGAGGGCCTGTACACGCTTAATAGCGTCAATAGTTGACAGGCCCTCTCTGAACCCGTACTGGGCCCCACTGATGAACCCCAACAAATCTGCTTCTATGGGAGAGGGAGGGAGGGACTGTCCATCCGGACGAGACAGCATAATTGGAGTCGAACTTCACTAGGTAAGTTCGTTCAACTTATCAATTATGCAACGTCTCGTCCGGATGGATAATATGTAGATATTTAATCCTCAGATTTGTTCTGTAATATTTTATGTTGTCAAACAAAGTTTACAATAAGGAGCAATATCCACTTAGAAACGAAAGAAAAAACTGGCCTAAGTAGGCTTGTTAAGAATCGCCGCCTGAAACGAACTTTCTATTATTGGACGATTATAGAATCGGGCAAATACTTCCGATGATCTGCTCCAACCCGCGGCACGGCGAATTTCATCTATATTAATCCCTCTGCTCGCTGCGAGGGACGTGGATGCGTGCCGCGTAGATTGGGCCGAAAAAATAGATGTGTCCACACCTGCTGACGTTAACACTGACTTAGTCCAACGACCTAGAGTCTGAGCAGACACTGGTCTGTAAGGTGCACGAAAGGAAATGAAGAATGCATCACAATCGGCTTGTCGAATCTCACGCGTGAGTTCCAGGTAAACGTTAACTAAGGAGAATACACACAGCTCCGGCCTACTCAAAAAGGCCTACTAAAAAAGGCTTGAAAATGAGCAGAGGTTGGGATCTGCCAATCCCCGAAGTCTTAAGCTTTGCCGAAATTTTAATAAGTAAACTGTCCTTTATGATAATGTTCGACAGTTTTATAGCAGCTAACGTGCATTCTCTGGGCGGTCGTTAGAGCCAATAATGTTATGAGTTTACCGGTATACATTCGAGTGAAAGATCTTCGTGCGGAAACAGGGTAGCCAAATGGTCTACTACCGGGGACGGATCCCAAATATACTCGTACCGAGGACGTTGCGGTTTTAGTGACGCCACCCCTTTAAAAAATCGCTTAACTAATGCGTGAGACCCTACTTCAGTCGATGAAATAAGTGAGATGGCCGAGCGATATGTGTTTAAAGTGGAGTAAGAACCGACACTTGTTAGCGAATCCGATAGGAATTCTAAAACCATTGGAACCGATGCTGAGAAGCAGCTTATTTCTTTTCGCCTGCAAAAATTCCACCATAGACGAAGAGGCTTGGTGTACTGCGCTATCGTAGACTTCGTAACCGATGCGAGTGTGGCTTCCATTGCAGCTGCTGGAGTTCCCTTAATTAAAAATGCTTGGCGGATAATCTCGCTGCTACCAGGGAAATCTTTCTCCAGGCCGAATGGTTCTCTCTGAAAGGTGATGTCAACATTTTAATATCTGGCTCGAAGCAAATCGGTTGGTGGGTGACGAGTCGATTAAACAAGAGGAACCACGGTTGGGTCGGCCACCACGGAACGACCACCACCCCTTCTGCTTTATCTGTAATAATTTTTCGAATAACTTTCAGAATCAGTATAAAAGGCGGAAAGGCATAAAAGTAAGATTTGCTCCAATCTAAGGAAAAAGCGTCTACTGCCTGTGCCAGAGGATCTGGCAGCCAGGAGACGAAGCAAGGATATTTTGCATTAATTGATGATGCAAACAAGTCAATATCGAAAGGCCCAAAATGAGAATGTATCTTCTCGAAATAAGACTGCTCTAAAGACCATTCCGTTTCCACTGATACGACTCGCGACTCGGCATCCGCCTCAACGTTCTGAGCGGAGGGAATATACGACGCGTAGATGAAAATGTTTCTATCCGCACACCAACACCAGATTTCTCTGGCAAGGTTTGACAAATGGGGGAACCTGATTGATCCCATCCGGTTAACGTATGAGAGAGCCGACTTATTATCCACTCGTAAGAGAATGTCACAGTTTGTTGAATGCGGTGCGAAGCATCTTAACGCATGGAACACGGCCAAAAGCTCTAAATAATTAATAGGGTGACGTTTTTCCTCCGGTGCCCAAAACCCGTGTGTTCGAACTCCGTTGCAGACAGCACCCCAACCTGTCAACGAGGCATCAGTAAAGATTTCAAGCTGAAAACGACCGGATCTGATAACGTTGCGCTGTGCTGTGTCCTCAAACACTTCTCGCCACCATAGCAAATCCTCTCTGATTGCGTGTGGTAGGGTCATTTCAGCTTCGTAATCTCCGTCCGCGACTGATAAGGCCAAAAACTTTTCTCTCTCCAGCACCTTGGTATGCAGGATACCGTATTGCACGGCTGGGCAAACCGAAATCAGGGAACCAATGTAGCTTGCTAACAACCGGATTTTGCAGGATCTCTTTTTCAAGATGGTTAGTGTCGATTTAAGAAGTTTGGCTCTTTTATCCAACGGAATCGAGACAGAAAAACTGCTTGTATCGAAGATAAAGCCTAAAAAACGGCAGATCTTAGCCGGTGTGAGTACGCTTTTAGAAGAGTTAATTAAGAAACCTAACGAGGTTAACAAACTCGTCGTCGCATAAATATTTTCCAGACACTGGTTGTATGACGAGGCGATGAGAAGAAAATCATCCAAATAAACGACGGACAAAAAGCCCTTTTCTCTAAGAGAGTAAACCACAGGTTTCATAATTTTCGTGAAGATGTAAGGTGCCGACGCCAGTCCAAACGGAAGCGCTCTGAACTGGAAGAGTTGATTCCGAAATCGGAAACGAAGGTATCTCCTGTCATCCTGACAGATCGGTAGGAGCAGGTACGCATCCTCTAAGTCAACTTCCTAGTCCCCTGAGGAGAGGAGACGGATAACGGTCTTCCAGTCTTCCATTTTGAAATGCGGGGCTGAAATAAACTTGTTAAGACGTTTCAGATTAAGGATAAATCGTCAGCCTCCCGATGATTTTTTAATCACGAAAAAGGACGACAGAAATTGGCCCTGGCAATCTGACACAGGTTCGATCGCTCCTCTATCAAGAAGCCTGGCAACTTCCTGCTGACATATCTGTGTTTCCGACTCTGATAAGAGAACCGCAGGCTCCCTACCCTGAAAAGGTGGGTGACTAAACGGCAGTCTATATCCTGGAATGGCTTGCAAAATACTCGAATCCGAAGTGATCCGTCTCCACTGGGGAAGAAAGGCCGATAACCTGCCTGCGACTCCTACCTGTTCTCCGTTTAGCGTCTTCTCGACTGAGACCTGTAGGGATGTGATGACCGACGACTGCTGCTCGCCGTCCCCGACCTCCTTGTCGCCGGTCTTGTATTCGATACGGGGACCCGGGAGTTTCCCGGTTTGGGAACTATCCGTGTTGGTTGCTTAATAGGTTGCTGCACTCTTTTAGAGACTGTCAACGATATCCTGGCGATATCCTTGGAGGATTTTTCCATAGTCGTTGCCTTTTTCATCTCCTCTCCGAAGGCCGAGCCAAACAGAAGGTCGTCTACAGCCATGGCGTCTGCAGTATTTCTAGCGACTAGATTAATCGCCGGTTTGATCTGGGCTCTCCTTGACAAGGACAATCGGTAAAAAAGGTTCGCTAGTTTTCTGGCTCCCTCGTTAACCTTTGCTACTGCTAACCGCGCTTCAACGTCCAGCGATCGCTGTACCTCTGGTCTGAGGAAATCCGAAATGCCTTCCCCTAGGGCGTATAAAGCGATACCCGCCTGATCTTGGTCCTTAGCACAAAACTCGTCTCGCTTAATAATAGAGTTACTCTTCAGGGCCGATTTAAATTCCGGGTTTAATTTCGGGGCCCTGAGGAAAGCTAACTCCTCAGCGGGGGCGTATTTCTTCAGAAGGGCGTCTCGCGTTTCCGCAACAAGGCCCTTGCGGGTGATCTCAAGCCATTTTTGAGTCACTAGGTCATTCCAAGCCAGTGCCTCCGTCGTCTCCAGATCGGCACCAAACAGCTCCTTAGTGAGGGGTTCCGTCTCCTGCTCTACCTGCGTTAGTACTGTCGGGTCGGCTGCCAGCGTCGCTCTGCTCGCTGGCGGGGGCCTGTGGGGTACACTACCTTCCTCTAGACCGCCCTCTATTACTGCCGGCAGGAGAGATACATGTTATTTCCCTGAAGGAAAAAGGCTGTGTCGAGCTACCCGCCTGTATTCTCCAAATACAGATCCGGTAAGCACGTACACGAGATTCGAGTGGCGACCGCGGACCCGTACGGACGTGGCCGTGCAGACCCGACTATATTCGCGCTGAGTGGGTTTTTGTTCGAGAGTTAACGGTCCTTCATCGGCGTGTATCGGTTCGGTGACGTGCGGGGATTTTCTGTTTCGGAATAATATAGTATACGCCTGTGAAGAGTTACAGTCGGTGTGTGAAATGCAGGAGGCTGCGGCCTCTTGCAAAGAACAGGACGCGGAGGGGAACTCTGACGACCTCCCTCCCCTTAACAGCAGCCTTACATCATGCGAATCTGTAAACAATAGTGCAATTGTTAATCCCTCTTCCAACATTCAATCTCCTTCCTTAAGCGGGGATGTAGGTACCTCTGATGGCTCGGAAGATATATCTCTCCTAGGAACCATAAACAGGCTTTCTGCCTCGTTGTCTAAAAAACCAAAGGAAAAAGGAATTAGCTCGTGCATAAATCGAGCAAAATACGCTCGCAAATTGAATCTCGCAGGCCTCGCTCTCGCACACGCGGGAGCTGGCAAAACGACTCTCCCTACGGAAAGCAACCTAGACAAGTTACTCGAGGACTTTCGTAAATTAAAGGAATTGAACCAGGGATCAACAGCAAATGGGAAGCAAGCAAACTTCAAAATTGCATCATCCACGGTCCTCAATAGCGGGGGCAATATGGCTGAAACAGCAAGCATGGATTACACCAAGAACCCTGACGATATCCCTTCCTCACAAGATTTGAGCTTAGAGGGCGATGCCAACCTACCGACAGTCATTCAGAAGGAAGAGTCTAAGAAAAAGTGGAACGGAAAGCGCTCGGATATTGCAGGAACCTCTGCGGATTCCGAATCTGCAATGGATTTTACTTCGGACAACGACAACAGGATAACCAAGCCCACAACTATCAAAGACAAAGCCTCTGAACAAGTCTCTGCCGTGCAAGGTAAGACATCAGGTTCGCTTAACAATACCATAAACAAAACACTGGACAAATACACCAGTCTGGACTGCCCTCCGTACGTTGTGCATATCAAGGATACAAATCCCGTGCTATTACATCCAATTCACATAAGTAAAATTGTTGCGGCCATTTTCCCCAAAGGCATGGGGGAAGTAACCAAAATAGGTAAAGGACAGGTGGCAATAATTATGAACTCGATACTTGATGCAAATAAACTAGTTGGAAATGCCAACCTAATCAATAAGGGGTTACACGCTTTCGTGCCTGCATACCGATTAATGAGAATAGGAACGGTTAAAGGAATTCCGCAAGACATCGATGCCCAAACGGTGATTCAAAACATAAAAGCTAGCGCCAGGATCAGGGATATCAATAGGCTTAATAGAAGAATCAAAACGGATAAAGGGTTCACATACGAGCCATCGCGGTCACTCTCTATCAAGTTTGCAGGCCAAGTTCTTCCAAGCCACGTCTTTATATACAACATTAAATACACAGTTTTCCCATTTATTCCCAAGGTTAAAATTTGTTATTCCTGTTATAGAGTTGGACACATCAGCAATTCTTGTAAAAGTAAAGCAAGATGCATCTACTGCGGAGAAGACAAGCACGTTGACAAGGACTACGTATGTCCGTTGAGCTCGAGGAACTTTTCATGTTTAAATTGCAAGGGAAATCACCTTCCCACGTCTCACGAATGCCCTACAGTAATCACCTTTAAAAAAGTCCAAGCCCTGGCAGCCACGGAAAACATATCTTTGCAAGAAGCTAGAAAAAGGATCATTTCTAAGGACAACACCCAAAACATAAGAGAGGACTTAAGATACGACTTCCTGAATTTTCCCGTCCTTAACCATAATCCTACTACGAGTCTTCCTTCGGTGACACCGCGTTTTCAGACGAATTCCCCAACTCCCTCGCCGTACGCGGCAACCCCGTATCCCAATAAACGTAAGTATAGCTACAGCGCTGCGGCCTCTACCCCTATTTCCAAGGCAACAGAAGCTATTCAAACCCAAACCCATCCCTCCTCCCTCTTCCCTCTTCCCGTCGGAGGTCAAGCTTTCATCCTTTCCTTCTATTCCTGCATATTCAGATAATGACAGAATGATGAGAAGTGAATCAATTTCCAACAGAGGTGATGTTCGAACACATCATTTTTCCAAAGAACATGCAGACCTTCTAATCTGCCTTAACGGGAGATATCAACACTCGCCTACTGCTTTTCCCGGTGCGTCGGCTTACCCCTCACCAGCGGCGCCTACGAAAGAGCTGCACATTCAAGAAACCCTGAAGTGGATTATCAATCAACTGAATAACTTGCAAGTACTCATCTCCCCATTACAAAGAATATTAGAACAGAATCAATCGGTGAGCGTCAATACAAATCCGGCCCATAGGTCTATGCATCACGATATAACCCCCGTGCAAGGGGATCCGAAATCTCTCAGCCATATTCAACCTCCATATTAATAATAACGGTGGTATCAGGATCACTCAGTGGAACTGTAGAGGACTTCAAAGCAAGTTCGCGGAGTTGTGTGCCCTTATGGAACAAACGGATATACTTTGCATTCAGGAAACGTTGCTCAAGAAAACCAACTATTTTCATTTACCAGGATTCACGGCCATCAGGGGTGACATTACTGCTCCTGGAGCCAGAGGCATAGCTTTCTTAATCCGTAATTCCTTCCAATATAACTCTCGCTCGCTGAGCATCCCCTTGCATCCGTCCTGCGAAATTCAAATAATAGACATTAAATTAAAACAAAATTATCTGACACTAGTTAATTGTTACAGACACTCTAATACGGATACTCCCAGAGACTTCTTCCGCAATTTCTTTGGTTCCTTGGAACCTATAGGATATATGCTTTTGGTTGGTGACTTCAATGCCCACCACCCTGCGTGGGGTGGGCTGGGCTCCCGGGCAGACTGTATGGGCACTCGGCTGATGGACATCTTGGAGGAGGTGGGACTCTCGGTCCTAAACACCTCAGGGGACACATTCTTGAGCTTGACGCATGGAACCTTCTCCGGTATCGATATTGCAGCGGCGTCTGCTTCCCTCGCTGCTCTGTGTTCCGTCAGGATTGGCGAGGATCTCAGAGGCAGTGATCATTTTCCCCTCTTCACCTCCATCTGTCAATTGGAACCTCCGAGGAACCTCTTCAAATATAAAATTAAATTGAGCAAGTCTGAATCTATAGAGCTGAGAAACTCTAGAAAGGGAAGAAAGAGCTTTTACGGACTCACTTCCCTCGGATCCAATAGAGGCATACGATTACATGGTTAGTTTTGTTTTGGAAAATATCAGAAGAATTGTGGGGGACAAAAGGACCTCCAAGGGATCTTCGTCTCGAACCTATAGGCCTGAACACGTCCCAGCCCTGTGGTGGAACGAGGAATGTACTGAGAAATACCGGGACAGAAAGGCGGCTCTTCTCATGTTTAGGAGGTCGCCCTCAGCCTTGAACCTAAGCGAGTACAGGAAGTCGGCGGAGGAATGCGCAAAGACCCTCCGGAGAAATAAAAGCAA